CTTTGTAACCTATTCATCATCCATTGTTAGAAAGTGTAGGCCTGTAATCCTGTCAGAGGAGATTTGATCTGTCGGATCTGTTGGTCGTAGAGGGATACAACCAACATCGACATGTCGAGAGTACTCCCTCTCTACACGCTGGCAACATTTAACAACTAACCAACATGTATTCACACTCGTGTTGCACCCGCCTTACATTTACTTCCACTTTTGTAATAAAAAAAAGTAGTAGTTTATATATATATAGTAGTAAATGTAGTTTTAGTTGGTCTGTAGCCTAAACGGTCGTTTAATTAGAAGTGTTGCGTGTTGCCATATTAGTCCTTATGCACAGAATATTGTAAATAACAACTACCTGTTTATTGTATAACTTAAACCACAGGCTATGCACATGAGTGATCTAACCTAATTGGCTTCATTACTATTTTTTGAAGGTGTGTTGTGTTGTGTGTGTGTGTTTCCACTAGATTTTTGGCGTTCTTGCTCTGGAATGGGGTGCATGTCAAGACTTGCGGTGTTTTTGTAACCAGGCAGTTGTACAGCTCTGCTCTGCGGAATGTCTGCTTTCCCAGGAGGCTGCATCCCAGCGGTTGCCATGGGATAGACACTGACCCCGGCATGTTTAACACCGCCGCCGCCCCAAACATTTGTTCCGTGGTGCTCCATTAACACCAAAATGAGCTGGGCAGGGCTTCCTCGAGCAGAGAGGTCACGGTGTAACCTTCATAGTGCCACCGAGCAGCAGTGTGGCTGATGTAGAAGTAAACTTGATGAGTTCATATTGTTTGTTGGAATTATTTAGGTCAGGGGTTTCAAATTCTAACATTTGCTTGGGGCCTCTGCTGGTATTGTCATCTCATAGGAGGGCCACAGTACTTCGAGGAAGCAGAATATTCTGAGAATATTTCTATTACTAACATCGTATTTAACAAAAAAAATGCAGACAGCATTCTTTATACATTTTTAAATAATCATTGTATATCATCTTTGTTGTTCACTGCCAAACAACAAATGAAGGCCCAAACCTGCCCAAACCTGTTACATGCATTTGCGAGCACCTTTGCCCTTATTTTACCACAAACAAAACACATTTTAAAAATAGACTTGTGTTTTTATGTTTAAGTAGTATATGAAGGGGGAGTTTAAATTGATAAACAACTAGAATAAATAAATAATTTAAAACAAAATGCTATTCTTGTTGGTCAGATTATGTTATATTTTTGACATCACGTCATAGGCCAGAGAGAGGGGGATGGAGGGCCAGAAATGGCCCACAGGCTGGCAGTTTGAGACCCCGGGATTTAGGCCATATAGGTGTCTATTTTAGGGCTTATTTCAACGCATGCATTTGCTGTGTTTTCCTTCATACTGTAGTTTTTGCTAGGGCCCCATGACCTGTTTTGATCCTAGGGGTCTTACAGGAAGAGCTCTTCACTAGCACTTCCTGGCTGGGTTGTCCAAACACATGCAGCTGCTGCGGTCAGACCGGAGGTAAGACAAGTCCCTGGCAGGGAGAGTGCCTGCCCACTGAGGGGAAATTAACAGAGGAATGCATGGAGTTCTGGACGGACGCTCTGAGAGCTTAGCCAGATGAGGGCTCGTCTCCCAGCTTCACAGCCATGTCCTTTGTCCCACTGACAAAGCGTAGAATGGTGGCTTTTCATATTCATATCAGTCCCTAAAGACCATTCTGGGGCTTTTCTTTACTTTTTGGTTCTACAAAGAAAATTGAGCTGTCATTTGGATAGAATTGGACCACCTATTTAGAGTATCCTACTGATTTAGTCTAATGTTTCATGTAGGCTAATACAAGTGGGACTGCTATATTTGGTGATAACAATCAGTGTAAGATATTCAGAAAGGCCTCTTAAAATATATTTTTTTCTATTATCTGTTATTCTCTAAATGCTAGTGAAAGGAAAGCATCAGTGTGATGACTTGGTGAGCATTTTAAGAGGCTTGGGCACAACTCCAGATCATTCCATCCCATTACATCCACAATTTCTGGCTCATCCCAAGCAGACCCATGCTGTCAGACTGGTGTCAGCCGAGGAAATATCTGCTGCATAAGAACTAGCACATACTGTCCTTTTTTCTGAAAAAACAAAATATCCCTGGAGCTTCTCCGTTATTAGGAGCTTTACGCATGTAGAATTCAGTGAGTGTGAAGGTGCACTGTAGGACTTGAGATGGGATATCTGCAGATGACAGGCTCACAGCAGGAATCTGACACCCTCGGTCCTTAGCTGGATTTCATAGTAGCTATCAAAGTTCATGCAAACTGTCTCACTGCCTGCGGTCTGTGCAGGCAGACAGTGTTAACAAGGGAGTTTCTATCACTTTAACAGCAAAGAGCCCTCAGTTCATTCCGAGGTAGCTAAAGTCTGGAAGCAAACCGGTCTGGCAGTCACATTTCATTAATTGTTGACCTCTGAACTGAAAGAAACTGTAGCTCGTTCAACCCAAGAGGGAGCAGTGGTAGCTGGGAAATCCAACACCACCATGTTAGCATTCCAGGAGTATCTGAAATTGGGATCCTCTGCAGTGAGCGTTATGTTTACAGCCTATGTTTGTGTAGTCTGAGAAAGCAGGCAGAAAGGCACTTAGTAGCAGTGATGAATTCCACATATGTGGGGGGGGGGGGCAGAAAGTATAATGTCCTCTCCATGCGGCATGTAGCCACCCTTACTTTAATCTACTGGTGGTAGGCTAAAAATAGCTTTCATCAAAGTAGGTTGGGGGTTTCTTGATTGGTTTATAGAGGAAAAAGTTCCCTCTGATCTATGAAATAAATGGATCTTGTTAGGATGCAAAGCAATTGTAATATGCTAATAATGATTTTAACAGCACCTTTCACAATGTTTAAAGTGCTTACAACACGGTAGTTCTCTGGTTTCTAAGAAAGAAACTGTTCCACCTTTTTTGTTTCCTCTATTAAAAGAAACTGAAAGTTGCTTATGTATGAGCAGGACACCAACAACCGAACCCATTTACCAGAGTCTTTTGTGTGCATGTTTATGTAAACCCTATTTCAC